AAAACCTCCCCGCAACCACGCCTGTGGGGCGTGCACACACACCTGTTGGAATGGACGTGCACAAGCACTCGAAGAACAGCTGAGGGCTTAATTAGAGAGATGTATTATAGACACTTTTACAGCTTCTGGGATTCTCAGACTGCTGCACCTTACAGACTAACAGATTCATTTGGGCAGAAGTTTTCATGGGCACAAACTCACTTGGTCAGAGGCAGGCATTTCCACTCCACGCCTCTGACAAAGGGGACTTTTGCCCACAAAAGCTGATGCCCAAAGAAATCTGTTAGTCTTTAAGGTGCCACAGGACTTCTCAGGTTTTTTTGTAGACACAGACTAAAATGGCTACCCTTCAAACAAACTCAACTGATACAGGTAGCAATCTACCCAGCCATGAGCCATCAGAGATCTCTTCCACACAACGCACTCCCCTTTTCCCCCTCAGTGACCATTACATTAATGGTACCTGAAATGACAACGGGAGAAGGGGGCCTGACCTAAGAAACTGGAAAACAATGAATAGTCTTTGCAGCTCCTTAGAGACTGACAAAACATGTAGATGATGGTGTCATGTGCTTTCGTGGGCAAAACCCACTTCTCAGATGAATGGAGTTACTAATGGTCTAGTTTCTAAATAAATATGGGATGGAGGGAGGAAAGAAGGAAAAATAAAGAAAAAAAGATAAAAGGGGAAAGAAATAGTCAATTAGGGTCTGTCTACACTACCCCGCTAGTTCGAACTAGGGGGGTAATGTAGGCATACCGCACTTGCAAATGAAGCCCGGGATTTGAATTTCCCGGGCTTCATTTGCATAAGCGGGGAGCCGCCATTTTTAAAACCCCGCTGGTTCGAACCCCGTGCAGCGCGGCTACACGGGGCATGAACTAGGTAGTTCGGACTAGGCTTCCTATTCCGAACTACCGGTACACCTCGTGGAACGAACTAGGAGGGTAGTGTAGACATACCCTTAGAGTGTAGTGAAGAACACTTAGTACCTTCTCTATTAGCTGATGATATGACAGGGCCTACCCACATAAACCACCACATCAGAGGCTCATTTAACTGCACATCCACTGATGAGATCTATGCCATCAAGTGCCAGCAATGCCCCTCCTCCATGAGTACTGGCCAAACTGGACAGTCTCTACAGGAAAGAATTAATGGACACAAATGAGATCTCCGAAAAGGCAACACAGAAATCTGCTGGGGAACATTTTAACTTGCCTGGGCACTCATTAATGGATCTCAAAGTCACCATATTGTTTCAGGCCAATTCCACAAGCCAGCTCCACAGGAAAGCCTTAGAACTTAACTTCAAGTCTGATTCCTATCACAGAGGTATGAATGAAGACATTGGCTGGATGGCCGGCTACATGCCATATCCTAATGACAAAAAAACCCAACAACAAATAGTCTTACAGCACCCTGAAGACTAACAAAACATGTAACTCCATTCATCTGAGGAAGTGGGCTGTGCCCACGAAAGCTCATGACCTCATCTACATGTTCTGTTAGTCTCTAAGGCGCTGCAAGGCTATGAGTTGGTTTTTAAGTTTTTCCAGTTACAGAGTAACTCCGTTACGCTCTGAAGATAAAAAAAACAAACAATGGGTATTTAAGGACAATTATTACATTCTCAATCAGCTTCAGGTAGCATGGACACTATTCCCCCCCCATCTCCTATTTATTTTTAAACTGGACCTTTAGTAACTCCACTTATCTGAAGAAGTAGGTTGGGCTCATGAAAACTCATGACCCCATCTTTGTTAGTCTCTAAGGGTACGTCTACACTACAGCGCTAATTCGAACTAACTTAGTTCAAATTAGTTAATTCGAACTAAGCTAATTCGAACTAACGCAGCTAGAACTAAAAACTAGTTCGAATTAGCGTTTTGCTAATTCGAACTAGCATGTCCACATTGAGTGGACCCTGAACTGGGGTTAAGGATGGCCGGAAGCAGTGCCGGCAGGGCATCAGAGGAGGACTTAGAGCATGGAGATGCTGTCTCAGGCTAGCCGAGGGCTGTGCTTAAAGGGACCCGACCCCCACCCCTGACAGACAGTTCTCAGGGGTGCCCCGCTTGCAAAACAGTCCTGGCTTGGAGTGCCTGGAGTACCCACACTGGGCACATCACACCACTCGGCCATCAGACTGGCTGCACTTGCCGCAGGCTGCCATCTGGGGAGAGGAGGCAATTGGGGGGCTGCAGGAGAGCTTCCATCCCCAGAAGCCCGCAGAGCCAGCCCAGTCCTCCCTATAGGGGGCTCGTAC